TCTATTCTGTAGTGACTTTTTCCCAGGCCTAGCTTCTCTTTGGTCCTCTGAGATTCTTGCTGTTATCAACAGACAAAGCATGCAAGCCAGCTACATTGCTTCTTCGTGCCCTGGATTTTCTATCTATAAGCAAGAAAGGATTCAGTCTTTTTCTTCTGTAACTGTTTGAGATCTGCAGATGAAAAACAGTATTAAAAAGTATTTTTAAAGAAGAACTTTTAAGTTCTGCAAGACTTTTAGTTCTCTAAACAGAGTCTATTGTAACCTCACTGAAAACAATGGTGGTTCACTCTCCTCAGAGTTTGCCCTAGACAGTAGAGGTGAAAAGGGATTTCCTCCACCAGCAGATCTCTGGGTCATGTGCATATGTGTGTGTATGTACCTACACACTTGCACTCTTTATTCCTAGCAGGAAAACTGAAACAAGCCATACACAAAATGGGGATGAAGATGATGAGAAAAAAGCCTGAGCTTTTCCCTTACGAAAGTACACCTTTGAAAAGTGCTATCTGAGGAAGCTGCTGGAAAGCTAACATCTGCTCAGGTTCTTTGTTCCTTACATAGCCAGTAAATGTGCTCTCTTTGTAACTGTACACTGTATGGATTTTTTAAAGAGCTTCTCTTGTCCTGTATCTGATAGAGCAATCAGCAATGTCATTTGTCTATGTGTCTGCCCACACAATTCCATGGGCAGTGATTTTCATCATTTTTCTTATTGCCGTTATTGATTATCTGCTGCTCTCATGTTATATTGTAACATGTCTTAGATCCTCCGAAAACAGCCTAAACAAATTGTTCAGAATGAGCCACATAAACTGGTAAACTGGTAAACTGGTCACATGCCTGGATTATTGTTTTCCCAACTTTTTGATCTACCAGAAAAAGAACTTAGAAAGCAAAATTCACCCTGCAAATGATCTGCACATAAATGGAGAAGTATCCAAATCTCAAAGGTCCCTCATCCTTGAAATCCTCACGATAAATTTTATATAGTTTTCTGTCAAAAACCATTTTGTGTTCCCAAGACATGACCTGAAACGCTTGCTCACTGAAGCCTGCTACCTTAAATAACAGTGCTCCATGAGTAGAATTGTAATGCAGCATTACATACACTGATACAGTAATTGCAAGTAATACAATATGTCATCACAAATGCAGTATACCTCAGAATAGATACTTCAGCAATAAATTCATGATAAATATCACTGAGGGTTGTCCTGTGCAGAACTAAGGAAAGAACTGTCTGGATATACATTTTCTGGTATGTAATCCTCCTCTTTTGAGGAGAGTACTGATGGAGAACAGAATATAAAAGATAACTTGTTATGTCTGTTTAAAACAAAACAAAAAATTCCCAAATTCATCACTTCAGGCACTGATTTGTATGTTTTCTGTTCACTGATGTGTGCAAAAATTGCATAAATCAGAATTTTGACTGGCTAGAAATATGAGTCATGGGCATAGCTCCATCTCTGATAAGAAGATCATAACTTTTGCATTTTGATTTACTGTTTTTAGTAGCACTGTTATTGTAGACAAAATTGTCAAAACACATAAGCTTGATCTAAAGGTATTATGAGAAAAAAAAAAAATAATAGACAGGCTTGTATGCCTGAAAGCTTTCATATTTTTATCAGTTCTACTTGTCAATCTAAAAAGATACTACCTCTTTCTCCTAACGTTAAGTTCCGTATTTGCGTTTATGAATTAAAATTTATCTTTTGCAAATACTTTCTGAATGTTGTATTTGCTAAAAGTTTATTTTTTGATAATTCTTTCCAGTTTAACATAATACAGAGAAAGGAAATGATATTAAAAAGAGAGATGAAATTAAGAAAATACACTTTAAATTTCAAGAATATTTTGCAAATAAATGTTTATGGTCTTCCCCAACTGATCAAAGATAGTGAACATTACTTAACCTATATAGGAGTGAATCAAAAATCAAATATCAAATATCTTTCTAGAAAACTGAACTAAATTCTGTGCTGGTTTATGTCGGCGCTACCTCATTTACTTGAGAGATATTTCACCTGTTTTTCACTTATAGAAAATGTGATCTAGGAATTTTCAGCATGAAAACAGATATCTATTGCATGGTGTGCTCCTGTTCTCTATTAATGATTTCAACAGCAAAAACTAGCATGACCTCTAAAAACATTTACCTATGGAGGAAAGCTAAAGCAAAGCAAAGTGTCCAGTTGCTTCTGGCAAACAATCATCCATTTGGTGGAAGTGGCTGGAGCATAAGCTGATGGCTAGATCGGTTTTTCTGATAGTAGTATCCAGTTACCATCCTTTCAAGATTGACATATTCCCTTCCCCTCACAGAACTAGTATATGTTTTCTTGGAGTTTGGCGTTTAGGTTGAGTCAGAAGTGTAGGTATCCCACCCAGAATTTCCCCATCAAAAGACTCATAGATTTACTGTTAGTATAACCACTTAAATTAACAAACCTTCTTTAAATCCCTACTCCATGCTATGGATTAGACATTAAACCCAAAATTCCAAAGAATAGGTTAGTTTTCTAGAAGCATTATCTTTTCTTTAAATTGAATCCTTAGGAAGTTCAGCCAAAATCACTTGGAAATTTGGACACCTAACCCCTGATAAAATAATAATTAATAATAATAATAACAATAATCCCATAATTTTGGCATCACAGAGAGAGACATGAAAATAAATAGTCCCTAAAAATCCTGGCCAAGCTACATGGGGGAGCCTTCTTCAAAACCGAAACGATGGTGCAGCACATCTCCTTTCGTTAATTTCCTGAGTCATTCCCAGGTAAACCGCTTTCAATGATTATTAAAAGTTTCGATGCCTCTTTCAATTTGCAGTCCTATCACGTTGTGTGTCTTCTGTTCCTCCACTGTGTTACACTAAAGACTAGTAAACAAATTATGTTCCTGAGCTTTTGGCTGATGCTGATAGTACGTAATACTGCAGCAAAAGCAATACTGGCAACAGCAATATGAACGACCATCTTTTTTTTCCCCTTTCAATAACATGATAAATGTTACTGAAACTCATCACAGGGTACACACCAGTTATAGATTGTGCTTAAGATTCCAGTTAGGATAGACACTGAAGGTACTCTTTTAACAGCTGGTATCAGCAAAGTTAACCCAGTGATGAGTCCGATTCTTATTTTCCACAACATTAATTTTCTCTAGTTGTGGAGACAAATTTCTAATTATCCAAAGCACAAAGCAAAGGAAGAATATATTTTTTTCATATACACATAGCTGTACATCACAGATATATTCATATACAGTAATATGCCACAGAATGGCCATGCATAGCTTCCTCTCCATTACCTTTGACTGCTAAACATATATATCCAGGTTTGTATCAGAAAGTTTTAAATGCAACCAAGAGAGATATTTTTGTTTGGTTAACTGGATTTTTATGGGACGGACGGTATGGGACTGAATTTTCTATGTTAAAACACTTAATGCGATAATTGTGAACTAATTTGTTCACAAAAATGTTCACAAAAGCCATCTTTCTTTGAAAGGTTAACCAAATAATCACTATAGCAACCCCAAAATATGTATCAATCTTTTGTGTCTCATGAGCTAATAACCTCACCACCCAAAAATCAATAACTACTTATTTCCTGTAGCACTCTGTAATTTTTCTAAGCAGTTTCTCAGAGGGTTTTCCTACCAGTTCTCCAGAACTGGTCATTACAAGGGCATGGATCACCAGAACAGCTCTGTAAGTGTAGTGAGCAGGGACCTTTACTTTCTCTCTCTCGTCTCTGTGGCCAAAACATTTCACTAATGGAAAGGCTCAGAGTTACAGTGCTAGATTTTCAAGTTGTGCCAGTTTTACTTGGCATACAATTTCTTTCCTGTATCTTAAATTGTATCCTTGACTATTTGTAACCTGTGAAGACTGGCACCTGCTGGTGAAACAGGCATCTTTTCTAATAGTTTAGAGGGTTCAACTGGCCGTAACTTTACCACACATTATCCTTCCCCTTGTGTAGGGACACTAACATTTAGATATGTTTTTTTCTGGTCTGAGTCAGTGACTTTGCTGATATCTTACTAAGCGTTTACTTCAGTGAGGATAAAAGCCAGAAGTTATGCAGAAAAGAAACAAGGTTACTGTCTCAAAGTAAAGAATTTATGAGAAAAACACATACTTTTCAGTAGTTTTCTTTAGAGCTGTTCTGTAGGACTCAGAAGCAAAGAGATAGGATTTCATTACCTGTAAGCTCCCCCCACTGCTGCAATAATTTTGCATTACTTTTGTTGTGGTTTTCCCAACAGTTTCAAAACTCACGAGTATTTTTCCTTTGTCCCTAAAGACAACGAATGAGGATCAGAATGGATCTTGATATGTGCAAATCAGAAATACTGTAATGTAATCCTGACTGCAATTTAATTATGTAAATTATATTTTCTATACATTGTTATTAATCATGTACAAAGTTTAAGTACTTCACTATTCCAAGATATTTATAATCTATCCTTCCTTTGCCAACAAAGTGGTAAATTATTTGACTTATTATCCTGCTAACATTGCAGGGTGCTCTCCCTGGTTATTCTTGGCTGACTGATGCCTCAATTTCAGTAAGAGTAGCCCTCATGTCCAGCATCGCCTAATAGACAATCCAGTTGACTTTCTTGATGAAGCTTATTACAAGATCTTGACAGACAAGTCAAGACTTTATACATATATAGACAGACAAGTTTATATATACATATACATATACATATATACATATATATATATGCCTAACTTTTGTATCCTTTATCCTCTCAAGTCTAACATATTCTTTACTGAAATTTACTAGACCACTATACGTAATTTGGAACATGGAAACCGGAAACTTTTGTGAGCTTAAGTTCTCAGATTTCCTTCTCCATTAAAAGTGATTTGAAATAATTTTAATGGACTCCTATTTAATCTTTAGGAGTGTTCTTTCTGCATTAGAAAATGAGCAGGTATCCAACATAATATGAATAAGATGTTTAAAAATTTAATGAAATTACTGGGAAATATGGCATAGCTGTAACAATATGGAAAACACACTAAAATGTAGAGAATTAGATACAATATATAAACCACATGTATTTCATGATCTAGCCTTCCAACAATTCCATTATAATAGTACATGCTGTTTTAATAATATCATATAAAACTTAGAAACTTCCAAGGTGTGTAAAAATACACAGAGAGCTTAGTATTTCCCGTTAAAGCAAGTAGGTTTCTGAATAAACTGAATAATTATTTTTCTTGAGGAACACATCTTCTCAGTTTTTAACACAGGGCTGATATTTATTTTCTCAAGCTGTTGAAATGACTTAGCAGTATTTACAATGTTTTTCTCCTCCTTATTCACTTAGGAATAATCTTGATACTATGGATATCTGTTTCTGCTTGTTCTACTTGGAATGTCTGTGAAGGACAGCAGTATTTCAGAACTTTAAATTGTATTTTCCCATGAAAGAAAACAATTTTCCTTGAAAGTTTCTTAGAGTCACATTTTAGCAAAAGAAATTACAAAACTGAATTAGTGCATAAATCAGAGAAAATATTTATTTACAGACATGTAAAAATTATGTTACAATATTTTAAAGAAAATTGTCATGAACCATAAATCTGGTCTATATGGGCAAACCTTACACGTTTAATTCTAACTTTCAGTACTACCTATTAAAAAGATGACTGCTTACAAGATTGTAACTATCTACATAGTTTAAGTACAATGGTTTTTCAGAACTAAAAATGGATCTACACAGAAAACTAACCAAACCAGCAGTAATATGCAATACAAGAGTTTACAAAAGTAAAAATATTTTTTCCTGATTCAAACTGTAAAGCTTTTTTAGCATAAGTTTTCCATTCATGCAGCTGCACAGGCTTAAAATAAATATCTGTAGTACACAGAGCAGGTAGGTCTGTGTAGAAAATGAATTGGTTTAACCAGGACTGTATATAAAGGATTTTATAGAACTGTTGACAAGCCAAATTGATTCACAAGATCCTTTATGCTTCCTGTTCTTCAAAACTGCAAAGTATGAGCAATATTAAAATAACCTAAGAAAACCCACGTAAAACAAGTAAGTATATGTGGTGACGACAAACAACACTGAGCATACCGCATACGTGAAAAGCAGAGAAATATTGAGCTCTGCTGAAGCTACCAGCATTCTCTTTAGTTATTTGAGTCAAGCATGCCATTAAGAAACCTTGCTAGTAGTAGACCTGAGGGCACAAGTTTGTGGCTTGCAAATGAAACAGTACCTAATGATCTCATCTCAGATGTCTTTTTGCATTCAAAATGTTTTCAGGACTTAAACGGTGATGTGAAACAGCCTTAACATTCAGACTGTGAAATCATTTCTGTAAACATATAATGTAAGGGTAAAGACGGGAAAGAATTTGTAAAAGTATAATACAGTGCATTTCTGTGATTAATAGCTCATTTGGAACAGAGGTGGTAAAGAGGCAATACAGTTAGCTACTTCTTATTTGTAGTTTATTAACACGAATATCAGAATTGAGCTGTTAGATAAAAATCTGCACCTTTTAAGACATCCAACGGTTACATGAGATAAATATTTACTAAGGCAAAATGCCCACGGAGTTACTAAGATTTGGACTTCCTTTTTTAACTATTAGCTAAAGATGGGAGATCCCAAAATGGCAATTCTTTTTGCATTTTGCAGGTAAAAATGATAATAACCTATACTTATGGATAGAAAGTGGAGACATATTTCACCATAACCATTATAAGCCTCAATATTACCAGGAAAAAAAGGGAAAATTAAAATTTTAAAATAGCCAGGGTATTAGTCAGAGGCAAGCTAACACTTTAATTTGACTTAATATTTCACATACACGGTAATATTTTTTCTTGCACTTTTCTGGGACTGTCACCCTAGGTAGATTCTGAAGCTACAATTGTTTATGTTCAGGCATAACTACTTATAACGAACTTCTTTCCTTAATTAAATAGCTAGGTAATACTTAGTTCTCGGGTAAACTCATCTAGCTCCACAGACTATATCGATAAGCTAGGTTTAAGATGCACAAACATAACTGAGGATGCTATGTTACATAATCTTTTAATGAAGTAAATTGCCGTGCATTAATACATAATTAAATTCAAATGCACGTTTTTCTTCCCAGATATTCAAAGAGTATCAGTCCTTTTGGATGATGGTCCCCATGATGGAAACCTGCCTGGAGTTCTTGACCTCCCACCTCCTCATAGCCTGTTATTTTGAGGTGAACTCAACATCTCACAAAGATACGTTTTTTTATAGAAATTAAAAGTTTGTTCTATTGAAGAGACTCACTAGTGCCTTTAATTTTATTTTTCTTTCAGCCAACAGAGAATAATTAAAAGGGCAAAACAAAGGTTCATTTTTGTTGAGTTGAAATACCGGATACCACGGGACATGGGTATCAGGGAAAGTCACAGCTCTCTGTTCCAAATTGACACACAACTGTATCTAAGCTCCATTTGACTGTGTATGCTACTACCCAAATTAATGTCTCTATCTCTTGGAAAGCTATTGCTTTCAGGTCATTCTTCTTCTCTGCAATCACTTTAGAGATATCTCTCTCTGTAGGAGTACATGTCTCATAAGGACGTAAATATCTCTTCCTTGTTTCACATCACCTGTAAAACTATGTAGGCCTAGCTTCAGAATGGTAAACGAGTTCATACTTTCATTAGAGAAGAAAATCTTGTAACCGTGTTGTATATGCTCTGATACACTTCATATTTGAGTAAAACAAGAGAAATAATGCATTCATTCAATTTGAAAGGAAAAATGATTTATTAAGAAATTCTATACTCAAATTCCCCCTACAACATCTGCAATAATTAATTATTCCACCTTCAAGCTTTTTTAGGAGTTCAGTAGAGTGGAAAGACTCTACTCTCGGAAAATAAAACCAAAAGCTATCAGTAAGCTAACTCAAACTCTCAGGTATTGCCAGTTTGTAAGTCATTTACCTAGCTGGATGGGAGACTAACTGTTCTGTAAGCTCTCTGTATAGTAACAACAAACTACCCTGAGAGACTAGCAGGTACAGCTATAAGAACTGTGCTAGTGGATGGCATCACATAGAGCATTTTTCTGAAAAAAATGGATTTGCAGGGGCATCCAATTTACAGTTTACCAGGAATTGCTCTTATATTTTCATAATTTTACTTTTTAGCAGCGATCCCTATTAGTAAACATAATTATTTCAATTGAGGAATCAAATAAATAAAATAATGGTAAATACCATACAATGTATTTAGTTGTGGCACTGATCATAACAATGATCTTGTTTGAATTAAGCTATAAACAAAGAAGTGCAATATCACCTGACTTTAAATATGATAGAACAGTAAAACATGCTAATCATAAAAATAGCTTTTACAAATATACATTTGTATACAGTGTTTCACCCACTTTTGTTAAATATGTCCTTCATATTATTATGATACATACATTGGCCTTTAAGACATCAAAATTAAAAAAAAAATACCAATAATTAGCCAGAGAAAAACACATTTACAATCTAAACCATAAAAATCTGACAATTGTACAGCTTAGAACATATAAGAAATGGAAATTCTAATATTTGAACGATAACGTCCATTTTAATAAGTAAATTGAGTTTTCATACAAATTGAATCAAAGGTGTTGCGAGCCATAAGAAACCGCAGTTCACAATTTTGTGTGGGGAAGTTCTCTTCTCAGCCTCCAGGGGGTTCACATAGGACTTCTCATCACTTGATCTGTAGAAACTGAGAAATACAATGCTCGCTTTAGTATGAAGGCACAGAATTTCTTCTAGCAGAACCTCAAAAGAAAGTCAAGATAACAGGGGAAAAGAGGAAGGAGACAATGACTTGACTTTTTCACTGTTCAATCAAATTTCAATACCTAACTTTGACACCTAAATATGTGAGAGCTAAAAGGAAAGTCAAATACCTGCAGCAGTGGATAACCAGGACTATACAGCAGTCCTAAGTTAAACTGCATTGCCCTAAATTAACCACACTGAATCAAGCGAGGAGAGCTGTTGCGGCTGAGGTATACTTCCCCTCAATAATGCTGAGCTAACGACTGCTGAATACTTCATATTTTAACAGTAGAAATAGAAGAATGCATCTTAGTTGCTTTGCAATTAAATGTTTTATTTGCATAATATCATTCAACCTAAATAAACTGTGTGGAATTCCTTACTTTGGTTCCATCACACTATATACCTTATTCCACACAATTTACATTGACTGTATGCTCTGCTTATTGCTGATGGATCTTTCCTCAGTGGCTCTCCTTTTATGTTGTCTATTTTATTATTGTTGTTGTTTACATGCTCTAGACTTTAATTGCCACATTCTTTGATTTCTTTTGCTGTTTTTCCACCCAAATTCTGAAACAGTAAAAATTCAGTGTCAGCAACACTTTTGAGGGTCATTCTTCCAGCAGAGGCCTGAGGCAGATTGCTTCTAAAAATCTCAATGTCCTAGTATGAGACCCATTAACACTACTAGCCTCAACTAGTCATTCAGTGATGCCTTAGGGGAGCACAAAACATGTCAGCTTCACCTACCAACAGAAAAACTGACAACATTTTCCTGATCTCATCTATGTGGGAAATTAACCGTAGAAATGTTAACATAAATAGACAGTTTCTCTTCTTAACTGAAATTTTCAACCTAAGATGCTTTCGATAGGAAAAAATAAATCTTTCAACCAATGTCTTCTTCACTTTTTTTTTTTTTTATATATTATACTATTTCCTATAGCTGAAACAGAAAACAGCTGACAAAACATTGTACACTTTTGAAAAATTTCCAGATGTTCTTTTCAGTCAATTTTCCCCCTTCCATCAGTCAGTTTTAAGTCTGCTTTTTTTCCTCCCTGGAAAAAAGGGGATGCTTTCTGATTTGTGCTCTTGTGGCCAGGAAGGCCAAAGGTATCCAGGGATGCATTAGGAAGAGCATTGCTAGCAGATAGAGGGAGGTGATCCTCCCCCTCTACTCAGCCCTGGGGAAGCCACATCTGGAGTACTGCGTCCAGTGCTGGGCTCCCCAGTACGAGAGACGTGGAGTCACTAGAGTGAGTCTAGTGAAGGTCTACTAAGGTGACGAAGGGACTGGAGCACCTTTCATAGGAGGAAAGGCTGAGGGAGCTGGGACAGTTTAACCTGCAGAAGAGAAAACTGAGACGGGATTTGATCAATGCGTATAACTATCTGAAGAAAGTGTCAAGAGGATGGGGCCAGACTCTTCTCAGAAGTGCCTAGCAATAGGACAAGAGGCAATGAGAACCAACTGCAACACAAGAAGTGCTGTCTCAGTCTAAGGAAAAATTTATTTACTGTGAAGATGACTAAGCACTGGAATAGGTTGCCCAGGGAGGTTGTGGAGCCTCCTTCCCTGGAGATATTCAAAACCCATCCGCACACAATTTTCTTCTTTCAGTTAAAATGTATTAAAATTATTATTCTCTACTTGTACGGAGAAAAAAGTCTTTATGTCTCTCACTTTTTAGCTCCTTTCCCTGGATAAACTTTACATGAAAAAGATTTTAAATCCTCCCCTTAAGTCTGAGAGACACCTAATGGTTGTTAAGTAGCTATTAATTTTATAAGGACAAAAAGAAAAGGCCATGGTTCCACTATACATCCTATTAACTCTAGAGAGAGTTCTTCTTTTCTAGCCTTTTCTTCACCTTTACTTTGCTGTTCCATTATGTTATTATAAAAGCAATAATTATCCAGGGAAGAAGAGAAACTGATTTCAAGTTATTTATTGAAGCTTTTTCCCTGCCATAAACCTTTCAGGCATTCACCTGTCACCTACACTAAAAAGCTTCATTATGTTACTATTATGAAGTGTTATTGCTAACCATCTGGATCCAAATCATGAATGTTGTTTTGCTTTCATTTAGAAACAATGATAAAAATTTATTGATCACATCAGCCAAAAATTTTGTGTTCTTCCTTCTAATACATAGGCTTATTATTTGCCTCTTAAGGCAAATAATCTTAAAGGCTGAGAAGAAAGTTTAAAACCTAAAATAGTCAAGCTTCTGTTTTAGATAGAATGACAGTAACCCAGGGCTATGATTAATCTAGGGTAGTATAATACTAATTTTATTCTATTTCCTTCTTCTGAATAGCATGCAATTTATCAGATGGCTTTGTGGTAGCGCTGATGATATTAAAAAATTTCACGATGACTAATGTTTTTTTTTAATCTTTTCATTTCCTTCCAGTTATATACATAAAATACATCCTGACACAACAAGGATGAACTGAATTACATTTAAGCCAGCAATTTGGCTTTCATTTGATGTAGTTCTAACAGAAAACCACTTTAAAAAGCATGATTTGAACATAATGCATTGTAAGAACTGAATAACCCAACTGAATATATAGCCTTGGCAGCTGCAGACAGTATCAAAGAAACAGTATATACTGTCCTAATTGCCATCATAATCTCTGAAAAAAGCTGGAGATAGGTTACGGAATATTTATCGGTTCATTTTCCACCCGAAATTATTTCTGCTTTTTCCCCCCATACAACTGGATTTTTGAGCGTGAGATATTGGAAGCACTCTTCTTAGGCATAACGCTGTGTTTCAGTTTTCCAGAAATGCTATTGCTACCATAATTATAGTTCCAGTATGATCCTTCTAGCATTTTTACCAGACTCAAACTATACTAGATTCAATTAATTTTAATTTTACACTGTTACAATGAATATAATTTTGGAAAGCCAATATTAAATATTAAACACTGGCCTAAGTGAAAGTGCTTTTCTATTTAATTTGCCTCCCAAATATAATTGCTAAATATGATGGAGTAAATCAAATAAATTCAGTAAAAATCTGAGTTTTCCCTCTTGTCTTTTAGAAGTTTAGTGCTTTTACCACTTACCTTTCCTCAAAACCTATATAATTCCAGCCTCTACAGCTGTAGATCTTAAAGAATTCCCTACAGGATGGGGACATTTCTGTGGGAAAGCTTCACCATTAGATCATCTACCAGGCGACCATTCTGTCTAATCTCTTTGCTTTATAGTCATCTAGTGCAATATAAATAGTTTACACTGCTGTATTTCCTCTAAAAGTCTTATGAGAAGGCAAGTTTGCTATATGGTAAAGATTCTAAGGCATCATTTTTAAGACTAGATTGACCACCGCAACCTCACAAAATGTATCTGGAAGGTGTAACGTTGACCAGTGTTTCTGTGGTAGAGCATCTCTATGTGTATTCAGGTTACCCTCCTATTACCTGTGGGAGGATTGAGCTCTGTTCTCTGCTAGCTGCACCCAGACAGAACTCAGCCTTTTTCCTGATCTAACTTATTTATTGATCCTTATAATTTTAAGAAAGGGTAAACAACAGGGATATGTTCCTTCCTTCCTATACACCCCTGTAGTTTCCTTCTGACAGGGTTTATGGGAAAAGTGTTTTGCACTTTTTTTTTCCATGCTTGTCTTCCAGACCTAGATGTATATGGTCTGGATAGGGAGTATTCAGACTGCACCACGACTAAATGATACAAAAGATGCATGCAATTAACAATTCCCTTGTAGTTAAGAAATTATTATTAATATTGAGAAGACATTTAGAGAAATGTCCCACAGAATACAGATGCTACAGAATTTATTGAATTATTTACCCCATAACAACCCCCATGCAATAAGAGCACCCAATAAGTATATGCAAGATGTTAATGTAACAAAATCTATTTTTAAGCAACCAACAGCTTTCAACAGTTTTCATGAAATTCCTGGCTTTTGTAGCTAAAACAGTGGATGGACAGATGACTGTGTACATGAACCTGAAACCCAGAGCCTAAAATATCCATCATCTTGCTCTCCTGCCTTGTTTTCCTTGCCAGACAAATTCATTCTCAGGATCGGACTTTTGGGTTTAACAACTGTAAGGGAGGCACAATCAGCTAATTCTGACCATTGCTTGGTATCAGATCTTGCAAGGCAATCTTGCCTTTCTGCCTCTATTGTCTTCCTGTTGAGGGAACACACAATGCCCGACACCCTTCCAAGCTGTTGCTCGTGTCTGGCTAGGCTTTACCTGTGGTTCAAAGTTGTATAGTAATGCCAGGGCTTATCAGAGAGTCTTGAATTTGTATCAGCCATCAAATGGACTGTATAGCTGTGTTCATTAGAAATACATCTTGCACTTCATCCCTTGATTTAAAAAATGGAACCTTAGATTAAATAAAAGAGTTATATAGATGATTTAGTAGAATGCCTCTGGATGAGCTGTAAATGCTCAGTTCAGTAGAGGTTAGTGGAGGAACATGAATGCGAATTACAGGTTTGGTACTGTCATTCGTAACAGCATGTAAAACATAACAGACAAAATTATGGCACTAAAGCAAAACTTTTTAAAATGAACTAGTGATAAAATATAATGAATAGGAGGAAACATACAGTTTGATAAATATTAATAAAGAATAATAACAAAAACATGTGCATCTTCTTTAAAATTTACCTCAAATGATGAAACTTAATCATTATTTTTTTGTAGCCTGTCAATCTTACATTAATTACTGAAAACACTGTAGAATCCTTTCTCTGCTCAGTGAATAGTTTAATTGCTTTGAAATGTTAGCACTCATGTGAGTATACGTGAGAATGGCTGGTTAACTCATCACTGAAAATAAACCCCTATCCCCTTTATTAAGATGATTTGTTTTAATTGCTTGTCCTGTAAAAGTCAACAGGAAAAATGAGATAGGACTATCATATACCCATTTTT